AAATGGCATACCAATAACAAAGTGTACATACCGTGCTACGAAGGTAATCCATACAGCGTTTATTTCAGCTCTATATCACACAAAGAAGGAGAGGATCGACGAGGGTCCCTTTTCGACGAGTGTTCGTCAACACTGCCTCGGAAAACAAGGGGAAGAGATTGACCTCACCTCTTAACCTAAAATTGAGGTCAGCGATCAAACTATAATACGGAAGGGTCCACAAGGGTAGCGCGGGCATATTCCATTCAGTACGCCAGCCGGTCGTAGGCAGACGGTCTTGCGACGAAGCAACGCTGCGCCGAGTCGGAGTGCCTGCTAGGCCTATATTCTGAGAGTTTCGTCGGAGCGGGATTCGCGGCTGTTGTCGCTCTTCTCGGGTGTTTGTGGATCCAGCGTTCTTGTTCGTCGTGGTTTGTTTTAAGTACATTTCTTTCTTGCTGCTTGAAGTCGGCACGCGCGAGATGAACACGTAGAAAAATAAACGTTCAGTCAGTCAGAGTTTTGAGAGGAAGGAAACCAAAGCAAATAACCGTTCTGAACTTGGCCCTGCCCTACTGCGCACGCGCAGTAGTTGCTTCGTTTACCACACGATAGATGGCGCTTGGCTCTCAGCATTATCAAATTTGGCAATTTTCGCCACACATCTCTAATTATGCTACAAAATGTGGATCTGAATATTATTTAACAAAACTTTTAGGAAACATTCGCCGGCTATTTATTGTTTACGATCGCGGTGCTGGTGAGGTAGGCTCTTACCCAATAGGCGATGTGGATTCGGCTGACGTGCACCGATTCTGCGTATGCATCGTAGTGAAAAGGCAGAGCTTTCGAAGGAAAGAAGTCGCAAAAGAGTCCAGTTTTCTTTTAAAAGTTCTATAGCAAATAATTTTTTTTGGCTCCCTAGTCTTGTGTTTTTGTGTTCCTTTTCACACCTTTTACGACGTGCGGTGGATGAAATTCGATTTTAAAATAATTTCATGGTCCCTTTAAATGGTTTTTCCTGCCGTATCTCGTTTCGCGCTCTCGTCGTCTCGTGCGTCTCGTCTCGCGGCTTTTTAAAAGTTTTTCAACTATATAGACGCGGGCTTGTGCGTACGCTCCGACGCAAGCGTGTCGGGTGAAACGAAAGCACGTTTTTGCGCGGTGGGAGTTACTTTATGAGCCGAAGCTCTCGCTTTTGAAAGCAAATGTTGTGGGAAAACTATATCTGGTCCCTGCCTGCCAGTCACCGTGGTCGCGCGACGTCGAATGTTGCCGTCCCCATGTCGCTACAGATATGGCGCTTTCTAAACCGTAACGAAAGGACCGCCGCATGTTCATCAACATTCCTGTTCGTGTTTAGATCATACGCTATAGACTACAAAAATATCTCTTTAACTCAAAGACCGCTGTGTCGAAGTATTGATTACCTATCGTTTCTCTCGGTGGGCTTTCTTTCGAGAGGGACCCCGGTAACTGAAAAATCTGCCTCGAAAGAAAGTTGATGAAGAGAAATGAACTAAAGCAAGGAATGCAATGTTTGCAACGCTGAACCCGCAGAGTGCGCTTGTTTGTCTCGAGTTCAGCCGTTGAACAAAGCGCTCCAAGAACGGTTTGACCCTGGCTCGCAATGTCCTGCATGGACGCGCTCGGTTTCTTTTTTTCTGTGTGCTTAGCTTGTACCTCGCTTGCCGGCCTGGCAAGCACGTGCCGCTGGACTACTTTTTGTCGTATGCTGGACAGTTACATTTTGCATAGAGTTTTGTGAACCAGTTGGCGACGGAGCGGAGTGGCAGAGTTTCGGTTTCAATCGAACAGTCATCTCCGCTCGCGCGAAGAAGCACGCGCAACTGCAAGCCTGCCAAAGCTGCCCTCATGTGCATGCAAACATGAATGCACGACAGAGGCACCAGCCGGGGCGCTTGCAATCCAAAGTTTTACGGTTGCCTACTTTTGACAAAAATATGGCACGTCCGGATCCAGTAAAACGGTGGCAAGCGGTTTTTCGGAATTGCTCGACAACGCCTACGGCAATGTATGCACACTTCTGGGATGTCTCAATGCCTCTTTGGAGACATCGAAAGTGGACATTCATTACTAGCCGAAGGCAAAGCGAGGCTTCCAGCAGCCTTGCAGAAAGTTTCTAAAGGCAAAAAGAAAAGCACCCGCTAGTCGTGATGCATCTTTGTCTTGTGTACAATTTCGCATTGCACTGCAGTAGTTACGTGCTTCATTAGCCGAAGTCTGCATTCATATATTATATAACTTGTCAACCTAATGTTGTGATATTTACTACTAAGCTGGTCATTTTCAAATAAGGTTTAATATGTGCAGTTTGGTTTATATTTATCTATAACGGGTACATATATATGTATCATTTAACGGAAGTATTGCAAAATGTATCATGTCATGGGCATGTCAGTTACACGTTGAAAAACTCCCAGGTGGTCTAACTTGACCATAATTTGTTTATTGCAGCGAGCAAAGCACCCTTCTTTGCGCAAGACTTAAAACAAATATTTTTTTTTATTTTTCTAAGAGTATCTTCTCCAAAAAAACACTTATGCTGCTCCGAAACACTGTTCTGGCTGCTCCAAAAGCCATTTTTTCTGCTCCAAAACACTGTTTTGGCTGCTCCGAAAGGTGTTACAAAATGTCTTAGATCAATCACATCACTGGTTTTGTTTAAGAAGAAGGTGTAGGGGCAAAATAGAGCCACTGAAATTTGTATGGACACTCAAAACTCCCATGAATCGTCTTAAAGCCACGTCGCGGCGCTGCGGTCGATGGCTTCACAAAAGCGGCGATGTAAAATCGAATCAGGCATGTCAATTCGCCTGCGGGAAAAAAAAGAAAGTCCCTCATTTTCATTTTGCACGCCCATCCAAGCGTCTGAAGGGTGATTGAATACCTACAGCAAAATCAGGCGCTCGTTGCCACGGCATAGCCACAAGCCCGGGGAGGTGAACCCCCAGTGAAGCGGATGCAAAAATCCACTCTGCGCCTGCAAACTCATCTGTAAAATATATTTGCGAGGAGTTCCAGGTACACTCAGATCTACGAAAACAGCTGGAGCTAGTAGGGGACTGCATTCGCTTCTAACCAATCGATAAATAAACTTGTTTCTACTCTAATCAACAAACCATGCGCCTCTGAGATTGAATTTATCGTTGCATTTTAGTGTCGCACGCATGCACCTAAGTTGTCCGCACTCGTGTTAAGACCAACATGACATGTTATTTCTGGTGAGGTTTTGTTCGGGTCTGTGAAAGAATGGGTGAGCTTTTGTTTGGTGAGCTTTCTTCTGGGATTCAAATGAAAGAGTGTTGTGATCTCGTCCTCGTCCTTCGTGTTTTTGTTCTTTCAATTTTAATCATCTACATTTCAACGTGTTCGCCTTCATCAGTTCAACAAAAAAATTTCTTCTTTTGAACCTTAGCATCCCCCTAACAAAAAACTGTCATCTGAAAAGAACTTTGAAGAGTGCTTACAATGGAAAGGAGGGGTCACAGCGAAAGACAATAACCCCTTGTGGGAATGTAGACTTTTTAGCGAACAAGATAAAAAAAGAGAAATAAAAACATGTTGTGAACTGAAAACATTTCACCACTTTTCCTATGACGGAAAGGTTGACGCGACCATGCTCCCTGCTACGGGATAACCTAGAACGAGATGCCCCTTTTGACCTGTTCCCCTATGACCAGTTTTCCTATGACGAGTTGGCTGCGACGAGGGGGGGACCTGTACCCGGACACTGCGACTCCGGCTTGAAGGCAGGTTAGTTTATACAGAAAGCTCTAGAAAAAACCAACGCTCCTAACACATTCGAGACTTCAGGCTTCGAAATGGCGTCAGTCTTTAAGACAGCCGGCTTCAAGTTGGCTGACACCAGCCAATCAGAAAGCGCGACTGGTTTCAATCTTCAGTTCAAGTGAACGCTATAGAATGGAGCAGCTTGGCAACATTCAGTGGGGTTCGAGTAACTGCTATTTGCGGAAATTAAATAGCCGTTTAAGGCATCATTAAGAATTTCCCGACCTGGAAGTCGTTTTAGTCCTAATTAACCGGGAAATTACAGATAAACAACAAATTAGACACCTATATAAACGAACAGAGGAGGATAAGTGTAGCCTTATCACGATGGGATCAGAGCACGAATCATCTTAGACTAAACGCTTCTTCGGTTGTCAATTCTTTAAAAGAAAAAGAAAAAAAAAGATAACACATTTTTACCTTGTGCATTAATGTCATTCGTATCTATTTGCAAGCTTTCAAATGCATGGGGAGTCAATACACTATCCCACTTGTCTCTCCAGGTTTCCAACCAATTCAATTTGTGACAGTTTCTCAGAAACTGTTCCGGGTTTTAGATTACAGATAGCCTGCGCGTCAGCGTTCCCATTGTTTCAGCTACAGTGATTTCAGCGGCGCTACGAATTCTCGGCTTCTGGCAGGGTTTTCGCTTTAAGAGTGTCTGATAGTTCAGCGTATCCCCAAGGGTGCCAAGACAAGATAAGTGCGCTGATAATCGTGACGAAGTACGTCATTAAAATACGCAATGGATAAACCAACTTGTACTTTTGCCGTTATCTGATAACACCGCGTCTGCTTCCTTATCGTTCAAACACTACTCTCATAGTCTCTCACACTGTTGCATGCAATAATCATGAAACTCATAAAAGTTATATAAAAACACGTAAATCCGGAAGAATACTTTTTTTTTTTGCAGTAGATTATTTATTCTTTTTCATATCTTTGCTGGTACGAGAAAGCACGTGAAATTCAAGCCCGCCGAAAATTACCTTCCCGCGCATGCTGCGCGCTCTTGCAAATAAACGCACACGCACGCAAATATGCACGCGTCAAGTAAAAACAACTTGTGACCGACAAGCTGATTGCAGTCTCTTCACGGTCAATCTACACACAAATAGCTCCGAAGAAGAACACGTACCTGAGCGTTCGATTAGCGAGGTCAAATGACGGCTACGCCGATAACGGATCTGACAAAATCGTATCGGCTGCATACCGACATCGATAGCCTTACGGAGTTGTCGCCGCGGATAGTGAGTGTGTCCATAACTGTCGCTTTGTCGACGGTAAAAACAGACGCTCGACGCGGTTGACGAAAGAGTAGAGGCAAGGGAGCGACATGGCTGACGACAACTTGGCGCCGCGCGCCTCCAACGATCTCAACATGTCGTACGAGTCGGTACGAACCTCCGGTCTTGGATCCAGCTCCACCGACGACGACGCAACAGGCTTCGAGAACGAAGACCACCCGACACTCTCATCGGCGGACTGGAAAAATGAGCTGCCGAACGTGGTATGTCTATGTTTCTCTGCGTCAGGCGCGGGTTAAACAGACCGAAATATTATTTGCCCGCTTTTAAAAGCTATAATCGGCGACAGGGGAAATAACCCAGTGGGCGCTCAATCTCGATCGTGAGCTTTCTGTCTTTGATAACACTTCGTTGCACGCGCAGTCAAAGTCCAGCGGAAGGCGACCAGTGCGTGCTGGAGGCGGAGCACCTACTGAGTCACTGAGTTCTCAACAGAGCTGGCAGTAATGCAATTACTGTAATGAAATTACAGTAATTTAATTACTTGTTCCAGTAATTAGTAATGTAATTCATTACTTTTTGTAGCAGGTAATTTAGTAATGTAATGAATTACTCCAGCGACGGTAATTGTAATTAAATTACCTAATTACTTTTTCGCACCAGGCATATTTTTCGTGTCCACAATACACAAGAGCGCTTTTCTTTTTATTTTACTTTTTCTTTTTCCTCTACACCTTTCCAAAAAACGCTCTTCGGCCGCCGCTATGTTGCTGACGCTAATGCGGCTGGTGCGACTCTCGCGCCCGCTATCAGCTAGACATTTTCTGCCATTCTCTTGAACTGTGAAAACCCGCTCAGCGCGATTCTCTACCTATGTTTTGCGGTTTTGCATTCGACGTTTTCTGGCCCCTCTTGAAAGGTTCCGCTTACTTTTTCTGGTGCATACTGCGTACCTTCTCTGTGTTATCTTCCACTATGAGAAATAGGGCTGGTAAGTGCCTTCCATTCGAGCTTTTCTGCTTGACATTCTCGGGAAACGAAGGAGGGGAAGTAGGTCGAACTAAGGCCCCTGGTGGAACGGCCCTCGACGCGATTTTGCGAACAATGACAATTGTTTTTCCCCCTCCCAGAGATAATCCGCGTAGGGTCCTCAGTCATCTCCAAAAATAGTTGTCCGGGTTGGGTGGGAAACGGATCAGTCGCGTGCGTTCCTCTGTCCATCGGTAAACATGCAACAGAGAGTTCTAGCTGTGTGCCATGAACTGTGTAAATAATGTAAATAAAGTTATCTGTAAAAGGAAGTTATCAATAGCTCCTTTATATTTTAAAGTATACAAAAGTAATGCGAAAGTAATGTAATTACTTTTAAAAGTAATTTGTAATGGTAATTAATTACTTTCTGGCTGTGGTAATTTGTAATGTAATTTAATTACATTTCAGCAATTTTGAGCAAAGTAATTAGTAATGTAATTTAATTACAAAATATGAGTAATTTGGCCAGCTCTGGTTCTCAACCTGTCACCGACTTATACCCTAGTTACACTAGAGCTCTTAAGTGTCATTAAGCCAATGACAGTTGTTTCGATCGCAATCAGGCGGAGTTACACGGCGGCGCCAACTGCCATTGAGCCGCTAATGATAATATATCTTTCCCCGATTTGAAGCGGCCCTGGTGGCACGGTGGCACGAAATGCATTATGGGTACCAGTTGGCCACTCAGTTTTGGTTTCAGTTTCAGATTTCGTCATGATGATCGTGTTGTGATGGAACACGCTGCTTTCGTTTTCATTGCTGCGACTTCCTACAAGTGATCAGATATCGAAAAAAAAAAAAAAAACACTTGGCACTGTTTTTGGGGTTCCCGGTGTGGCCGGATTTTGGGTAAAGGTAGGCAAATGTAGAACGATGGATCGCAACGTCCCTGCTGGTGCCCCTGTCGTGCATACACGTTCGCATGCGTGTGAAGTTATGCGGGCTTGGAAGATCACGTGCTCGGAAATAGGAGTACAGACAGCGGCTATCTGATTGAAACCGAAACCATGGCCAACTGGTTCCCAGCGAGCAACGCGCGCAGAGTTGCATAGAGGGATTTCTTCAAGTGGCCTGTTGAGTTCGATCGAGCTGGCCTACCTCAGTTCTACTCTAGTTCACCTTATGATGTACCGCAGGAAAGGCTACAAGCGCCAGCTCGTATGTATGTATGTATGAATGCGCCGGGGCAGCACCTCCTAGAAGCAGAGCCCGCGCGTTACGTCACACGACGTCACGTCCGGGAGGCCGGCACGGGCGCTGATCGGATGCGAGTGCCGCGTCAGCGTTCGCGTGGGGCTCGTCTCCTATCATAGTTCCACGCGAAAGCTGACGCGGCACTCGCATCCAATCGGCGCCCGTGCCGGTCTCCCGGACGTGGCGTCATGTGACGTAACGCGCAGGTTTTAAAGCTGCCTAGGGACGCTGTCTGGGCCAGGTCTCGTCAGCACAAGCTCTGGCGCATAAAGAGCAACCGCCCACTCTGTGAGCTCGCGTTCTATCCTTCGCTGCGGAACAACGTAAGGTGAAACGGAGTATAACTGATGGGGGTTCACCCCAATAAAGCTAAAGATGGCGACGTCCGCCGCATGAACGCCCATGGGCAGCGCCAGCGAAGCACTTACTATTGCGGAAGATTGGGAGAGGTATGTAGAAAGTATCCTAGCAGCATATATTGTCGGAACAGCTATGATTCGGGGCCAGAGCTGCTGCTAGAACGATCACAGCACGTCGCCAAAGCAAAGCTCGACGAGGACGGCCATTGTAATGCAGTGTTGTACACGTTCCTCAAAAAAAGGAACGAAAGGTCGTTCCTCGTTCCTTCTGATTTTTGGAACGCGTTCCCGTTACAAGTTCCATATCTGAAAAAGGAACTCGTTCCCGTTACAGTTGAAGAAATGGAACGTATCGTTACATATACGTTACATTTGTATTTTTTTGCTAATTACCATATTTAGTTAAATCAAACAAAGTTTTTTTTATCTATCCCATTAATAGTCAGCTTACGATTTTGTATGTCGTGATGGAAGGGCAACAGGAGAAGAAAAGACGCGGAAGCAGGGTTTCATTTGTTGATATGTTCATGTTAAAAATCTCAGCTATTAACCATCTTCATGTTTGTAGCGGATAATTTGAGACGAGCCGAATGTACTTTTATCCAAGATTGCACGAGCGTTTTACAACTACCTCACACGCTTCAAAAAATTGGGTTGTGTGTGTGTTTATACAGCCTAGAACTTGGTCTGCCTCACAGGGGCGACGAGTCTCCCAGCTGTAGATGAGCAATTTAGCCAGTGCGGTACAGCCGCTAGCCTGGGGTCTTTAACGTGCACCACGCAGTAGTGATACACGACCGCACGCCGGTACGATGCTCATCCAGATCGAAACGGGCAGGGGTGGGGCTCGAACCCAGGATCCCTGGGTTCTGCAGCGCTCACACGCTTCAATTCAACAGAGTCCTGTGTTAGAACTTAACAACAGTTGCTTCTCGATGTTGCTGTCCGTAAGAGGAGCAAGTGAAGGAAAGGGCGGGGACTTTTGGAAACTCTGACTTGAAAGCTGGAAATACTTCGTTGTGAAGGTTAGATTTGTTGTTCAGTTTGAAGGTGGGGGACAATTGTAGGAATAAAGGTTATTATTTTTTTTGTGTATCTTTTAAGTGAATAATGGTCGGAATACAAGGGTGAGTCCGATATATGGCAACCTGCGATCTTGTTGTAATTGGAGGTCTCGTTATTGAAGTTCAAAACTGGCTGTAGTTGGAAAAATATTTCTGGGTGTATGAGGATTCGTGGAACCAAAAAAAGCAGCTGAGTTTGAAACAACCCTCTTCCTTTGTCTTTTCCTATACGACTAAAAGTTTTGCTTTTTGTACCACAGTTTCGGGCACTCAAAAAAGTATCAATGCCCGCAGCTCTCCTGCACCCGAAACTGTTAGCAAGCGAGGACCACACAAAATAATATATAAGATTAGTAGCCAAAACGTTAAAGAGATCCTGCACTTCGTAAAGCTATTGTTTTTGTACTTTCGTATACTTTTCCTGTTAGAAATAAAATAAAGATCACCCCGCTGGACGAAAAAAGGAACGCCGTTACTCTTTCCGTTCCAGTAAAAATGTAACGCGTTCCCGTTCCAGTTCCAGCGATGCAAAATGGAACGGCGGCGTTCCTTCGTTCCTCCAAAAAGGAACGCGTTCCAGGAACGCCGTTCCTTGGAACGCCGTTCCGTACAACACTGTTGTAATGTCGGTGCCGACAAGACTGTCGTTGTGTCTGTCTTGCTTGAATTCGTGTAAAACGTTCTAAAAGTCGTTTCTTTACTCTAAAAACAAAACAAACAAAAAAGTTTATTTTGTTTTGTTTTAAGCGTTTATCATGAATGAAAAGTGTGCATATAATTCATTCGCATCGCTATTTAAAAAAAAAAAAAGATAACGTGACATCAGTTTTTGTTTTGTTTCGTCTTCAATGGTGTCCCTTGACGCGCACCTCAACTGGGGCTGTTATTAGGCCTATGTACCGTGTAACACCGGACAGCTTATACCCGTGCCACACGGGCAACTCGAATGCCATTTACAACGAATGACATTTGTGTGATCGGCGAATCAGCGTGGGATGCGCCACGCCCGGAGTGTCGCGCGCTGATTGGCCGTCCGCTCAAATATCATTCGTTAAATGGCATTCGAGTTGCCCGTGTGGCAAGGGTATTAGTTCAGCTCAATGACAGTTGGGTGATGTCAACGATCGTTGACTTAGTGACAGTTTAGAGCGCTAGTGCAACTAGGGTATCAGTGACTTTCACAAATACGGAATGTTCATAAAACTAAAAAAAAAACATTTTTCTTACTGAAAAAAAATACTATGCGGGTAGAAACGGAGGGAGAGGAGGAGACTAGAGCGCGGGGGGGGGGGGGGGGGGGGGGCGTCAGAACACCGAGTTCTGATTGGCTCTGAAAGAAGAATAGTGGATAGACGTCAAGGCAGCTTTCTTCGTGGTCTACCCCCTAGCCTTCAATCAGAGCCAATCAGAGCTCGGCGTCTCTCTGACGTCACCACAACCCCTGCAAAAGAAGCAGACGAACTTGCCGCGCCCTTCGTCTCTTGAAGCTCGACGACCAGTTCGCGCTTTCCACTTTTCTCCCGCGTCCTCCTCTCCCCTCCTTCCACCCTGTCTACCGTTGCCGGTTTCCTCCTCCCCCATGGTGAGGAGGATCTTCTGCCTTGCAGAATCTCGAGTCTGGTCGTCGGCCTTTAAGTAATCAGTGTCTGTATGACTATAAACCCTTTCCGAAATTCAGTCTGGCCACTTTGATCACTATCCCCATCTGAGGAATGGCATATGCGTCGCAATAATGGCGGCCTTCTGATTACTGATGGTGGGAAAAGTTGGAGATTCTCCAAAGTGTATTATGCGAGGCCTATACACGCGAGACGTTAGCACGATGGGACGCGGGAATTTTTATACGGGAGCTGCGTAAGCGTCCGTCTCTAACTCGGGTCCAGTTAACCTGTTGGCGGCACATAATCGGCTTTACAGCCCATTATGTATGAAATTGTATCGCGGCTTCAATGTGGATCGGTGCTTCGTCCTTACCAGTTGTTCCAGAAAGAATTACAAGGTAAATACGCCTATTCTCGACTGCTGTTGACTAGCGAAAGTTACGGTGCCTGGCCACAATACTACAGACGGCAGGTCCATTCCTGCCATTAGTACTGCGTAACCTACAAGCCCATTCTCTCACCCCAAGATCACAATACCTTGCAAACGGATATTAAACAAATCATTCAATGGTACAGTAAATGGAAGATGATCCTAAATTTTAACAAATGCTAATTCCTTGCGTTTTCTCGTTGAGCCTTTCTTCGACCTTTTTTTTACTAACATGACGCCTCCCCTATCACCGTTGGCAGTACATATAAATGTATACGTATTTATTTAAAATTTGACCTTTCATGGACGCCTCACATCCGTAACATAGTAGCTGACGCAAACCGTTCCCTCAGCTTTTTGCGCCGAAACCTGAAACCCACAACACCAACATTAAAACAACTAGCACACTTAGCTTTAGTTCGGTCTAAGCTGTTATTCGCTTCATCTCTATGGTGTCCTTGGCTATCTTACCTAGTTATTAAACTTGAATTCATCCAAAACAAAGCTCTGAGCTTATAGTTTTTGTGATTGCTCACCATTCACCAGCGTGTCTGGATTGCGCGAAACGGCTAAGCTTATTCGCAGACCTTCATTAAGGTGACGAGCGTCCCGTCTCTCTCTATCCTTCACCGTATCTTTCACCATAACATGCCTCTTCTTGAATCGCTGTTTTTACCCCCGTGGCAGATTTTCCCCCGCTTTGACCACTCCTGTAAGTTGCGGCCTATTTTTTCGTCAACTACTTCATACATTAGTTCCACTTTACCCTTGGCCATCAACGATTGGAACATACTACCAAACGACATTGTTACCGTAACCTAGACATATGAATTTTCTGCCCCTGCGACCCCTTTAATTTCTGCTTTATCCGACGAATTCCTGCGCTAAGATTGCATGCAAAATTGTTCGGTAGAGAGAAAAAAAAAAAAAAAACAGTACCGTTATCTCGTGTAATGTCCGTGAAGGCCTTCAAGGATAATAAATGATGATGGTGATGATGATGATTATGACGATGATGACGATGAAAGGTAAGCTGCTATTTGAGCCACCAGATGGCACTGCATTACGAAAAGGGTTAATTACGCTGTATTTGACATGACACTCAGTAGGCACTAAATACAACCTTTGGAACTAAGGACAGTTTGTCGGCACGTAAAAATTTTATAGAGTCATTATTTATAGATTGATTAATTTTTTGACAGACCGGCTTATGAACTGATGGATTGTTTTAGTGATTGATTGACCTACTGACTCGTTCATTGACACACTGACTGACTGGTTGATTGATTGTCGAATTGATTAGTTGATTGATATGTTAGTTAACTAATTAATTTTTATCTGCAGTGCGGCGGTGACAACTGTAAGAAAAATCCGCGTCTCAGTTTAAGTTATTCGATGGACTCGGTCGGGGACCTCAAGTCGGACACGGTGTACAGCATCACCAAAACGGCCACCTTCTCGCCTTCCATCTCGAGCACAATTGGCACAATACGGTCGGACAAGAAAAGGCTGAGCAGGCGCACTGCTGGCAAACAGAACACGGAAATGCTCTGGTAAGTGTCCTAACTCCTCTTAACTTTTTTTTTTTTTTTTTAGAACAGAATTTGTTTTGTTGGTGGCAGCTAACCATTTCTAGGGTGCCTCAATGTCCTTCTGTTAAGGGTGATGCCACCCTTTGTAGTACCCGATGCCGACAGCACGCGCTCACGGGTAAAATACAAAGAAATCGACGAAAACAAAATGTCGCCGTAGCACAGTCAGCGCCACGAGCGCGTGCAGGGACATGTTCCTTCACGCGCTTCTGAACAAAAAATAAAAATAAAAGTGTGAGACAAAATGGCCAGATGTCTCCACCCTAAGCAAAGCGCACATGAAGGCACCCTAACCATTTCCAGGTAGCAAATCTGAAACGGAAAACGTAGCCGCGACTGCCAGCGGAACGCTGAAGCAGCGCTCGTCTCCTCACAGATTGGACTCCAGCACCAGCTGAACGCCTCGCTCGAGTACGACCGAGTAACTCCCGCTCTGCGGGTCCCATCACGTGACCAAACATTGGGCAACGTTCTACTCCTAGCAGAGGCTAAAAGAGCGAGTGCAGGTCCTCCAGAGAGAATGAACGCGAAAGAGAGCGACAGAAAAGCAGAGTAAGAAAGCAGACGAAAACAACAGATGCATTGCAAGTGCACGTCATGCTGCTTCTCTGGCTGTGTTCCAAATCTTACCCAAATGGATCCGAGTTACTCCGGGGGATCGTGTCACGTGACAGCACAGATTGAAAAACGCTGGACGCGATTAGGTTTTAGAACGCCAAGGGTGGACAAACTGCGTACATTAAAGCGTCTAACAATGCCACGCAGCGCTGAACATCTTGCTAAGGGGTGGACAAACTGCGGCTCGCGGTTAACACACACACACCCAGTCGGGGACGCGTTCCAAATATCATAGTTGGCATGGACGTTTAACGAATGACCGTTAGCTCCTATTCCTATCATCGCAGACTGTTTCAGATGCCACGTCCTTTCTTTGCTTAATGCCATATGTATTTTTTCACTGCGCGTGTAATAAAATGTAAGTTATCAGCAGGCATCTGTTACGTTTAGAGCGTTTCTTGATAGTCATCGGGTTTGGGCGCTACTTATTTTAAGTACAATAGCATTTTGGAGCGAACCCTCCGCATTTTTGTCTACGTCCTTCATGCTTGTAACCAACAAAGACATCATTGGCTGCTGAGGAAAGACCATGTGATCCGCAGAACCTTTGTTCTGCGGGAGAGGAGCTTTTCCGGATGTTGCAACTATTTCGTCAAGGCTCAAGAGCGAGATAGTGACGTGCTGAAGAGACTGTGGAACAACGAGTTGTGTCTTAGTAAAGCTTGAGAGACAGAAAGCAATAAGAAGGTTAATGAAACCGACAAAGAACGGTAACTTCGGCTGCAGCGCGATCGAGACGCCAAGTTGGTGAAGACGTCTCGCGAAACGGACGAAGAGCAGCAACTTCGGCTGCAACACAAGCGGAAAGCCAAGCAGAAGATGTCTCGCTAAACGGACGAAGAGGAGCAACTTCAGCTACAAAGCGAGCGGGACGCCAAGCACGCGAAACGAGCATGGGCAACGGAACGGCATAACGATAAACGAATACAAACGTACGTGTTGGCCAACAAGCACTTTGAGAAGTATTTCCTCAACGACTTATTAAGTATGGTGTGCAGCGTGTGTGACCGCCACGTGGTTGCAATCGGACGTGAGCGCTGTGAAGGACAGCTTTGAATATTTCCTTTGAGCGACGTTCTTCGACAAGTCGGTAGACGGGTTTGACCTTTGCGCAAAGCTCAAGACAAGCCTAAGCGTGGGTAGGATACCGCGTCTGCCTCGCAGCAACGCAATACGAGGCAGTGCAAAACCCCTATTGCATTTTAACGACAACCTGCGGAGCGATTTCGGCAACAACATTTTTGCAATAGAGATGTCGCCATTTTTCATGGCAAGAGTCATATCGGAACCGATATGACTCAATGGACGTTTGACGAAAATACTCACACGAAGCATTTTCGTCATAGGCGTATCCTGCGATCTGCCACCGCTGCACAGCCGACACAAAGGGCCACGCACCTCAAATTAATTCGAAACTAACGGAGGTGATACGGCTCCGGACACGTTTATCGGCTGTTTCAAGAAAATGCACCCTAAGCAACTCGCGGCGATACAAAGGAAACATTCCTACTTATCTGGACACTGCTGTTCATTTTTTTAATGCGGGACGGGACACAGTTGATCTTGCCACAATGTACATTATCAGTGCCGACTATAACCGGGCTCGTTCGCGCAGGGACAACCTCACGACCCTCCTCAGCTACATCTACGCGGCCTTTGTGGTCGTCTTTGCGGCCGTCGTCACTGTACTGAGGCCCCACATCTACGTCGGACTCCACAGGATCGAGATCAACGATGTAAGTTGCCGTTAGCCTCGTTTTTTTTCCCCTTCTTTTTAACGACTCGTTTTCGAGAGTACTGTTGTAGTTTATAGACCTTTTTTTTGTGTACTCTCGTCCCCAGCCACCAAATAGGCGTATCCGGTATGGGCGACGAAAAAATAATAAAACGTTTCGACCTGTAAATAGTCAAAAGAAAAAAAATCCCGAGCCATTCCAGTCTGCGAAAGTGGATGACTACCGAAGCTGTTCAGCACACGACGCAGACGTGACACGGAATTTTGAACAAACTTGAACACATTTATTGTCTTGATCGGTGGTCGTTGTGACGAAAGGATACACACGCATATGTATTTGATGCGTTCACCGCCCCGCGACGTTCGTCGTCATGTCTGGTTTCCCGCATGTGCTCGGCGTTTCATGCACGATCTTCATCGGTGGTGTTTGCCGCCCGCCGCCGCCGCTGACATTCTCGGTGCCGTTCCCGTCGTTGCTCTTCAGGAGTCCGGACTATACGCGGCTTCCCCGTTAAGACGAGAGAAGAGAAATGAAATAGACCTATTGCTAAATTGCCCGAGCATCAAGGAGAATGCAGGTCCATAGCCTTCTATATACTGACAAAGCCTGGCAGATCGCCACGAGAAGCGGCCGCCGAAATGGAAAAGGTAGAGCGGTAGAAAACGTATGAGAGGAGAGCCACGTGACTGGCGCCCCGCTGCGGCGAGACGCCGAAACACACTTCACCCGAGCGAACAAGTGTGTTTCGGGTCCTCGCCGCTGAAAAAGCTGTGCGCTGAGAAATGGTTCTTTGATGCTCTGTGCTACCAGATCCATGCGCTCGAATCCTGCGACTGGGCACTCTATGGCTCCGTCGTCAAACTGTCAGGCTTTGTAAGTAAAGACATAGTCTATACTGACAAACCCTGGCAGATAGTCACGTGACGCGGACGCCGAAAGTGAAAAGGTAGGGCTGCAAGCAACGAATAAGAGGAGAGTCATGCAACGGGCGCCCCGCTACGGCGAGACGCCGAAACACATTATACTTCTTTTTTTTTTTCTCTCCTGTTGGCGAGGGCATACATGGAATGCCACCCCTTCCCCGTTCCTCCGTTTCGGTTTCGTCTGTTTCGTTCGCGCTCAAAATTGCGCGGCAAACTGCCGGGGCTGACAGATTACAGATTACAGATATTTATACACGGGAACAGCGTCGAAAGGTCAGTATGCAAGATGACTGCGACAACGTTCAGAGAATGACACACCGGGCGACGGCGGTGCCTCAATCTGAGCCCTGGGCCTCGGTTCCTTGGAGGCGGCAGCTTCTACTTTGGCTGAGCTACCTCCTTGGAGCCTGATGCTTCGACCCCAGTGGACCCCAGTGAGCAACAGCGCCATCATGTTCCTGGGGCTCCTTCATGCACCGATCAAACGGCGTGCCAGATCCCCATAGCTCGCGGCTGAACCGCCCAACCCGCCTCCACGAAATCTGGACTTCTGCGAATCGGACTGTCATCTTCCCCAATACCAACAACCTAAGTCGTCGTCATCTTGCATATGTATACTCATCGCATAATCAGGCTCACTAGACGTGGCACCGCGGGCCTCCATGGTGTGGGCCGCTGCACCGCCTTTCCGGGGTGCTGCGGCTCTCCAGAGCTTAAAAATAAAGAATAAAGACTAAAAACTACCCCCGCTTGGAGTTTTCGTCGGTCCATGCGCCATAGGGCACACAACTGCCAAGACAACGCAGATGGTCCTGAGGACGTCCTCAGCTGGCCGAGACGTCTTCGTCCCGACGAAGACGTCGTCGGGACGTCCGGAACTAGTCGGGACATTCTGGTCCTTTCAAAGACGTCCTGAGGCCGTTTTCAAGTTTCCTTAATTATGAAGGCCAAAAAAGCCTTCTCTCGAATGATTTTCAATAGTACAAAATGTTTCCATGCCGGGAAGTGAGAACAAACCAGAATGAGTATGAAAATTAGAATTCGGCCTCGGAGGCCTCGGCGGCCGGTATCGCTGTAGCCTCGACATCAGCAGCCAGTCGCATCGGTTTCTCCCGAACGAACAGTGTGTTTCGGGTCCTCGCCGCTCAAAAGCTGTGCATTCATGCACTACCGGACTCCCCGAGAAATGTTCTGTACTACCAGATCCTCGCGCTCTAGATCCGCGACCGGGCACTCTATGGCTCCGTCGTCGAACCGCCAGGCTTTATAAGTATACAGGAGGCTATGGTACAGAGGAGGCTACGAGGAGGCTATGGCAGGGCACGGTGATGCACGTGCTGACGTTCGCAGCAGTAACTGTTCTAAAGCAAAAGCCTAAAACATGTGGCATGTTGCACGCTCGTTCGTCAACGCTTTATTTTGGTTGTTTATTTCTAATCTTTTAAACGGAGAAGGCGTGTGCGCGCGGCGCCAGCGGCGGTGCGAGCGTAGAGTTTTTTGGTTACGCACACGAAAAATCCATGGAACCCTAACCATAAACCAACGTTGCCATGCCAAATTTCGCTAAAAAAATAGAGGGGAGGCAAACGAAAAATGTCTGACGGTTACGTTTATATCCTAAACGTCTTTTATCATGATGGCGACGGCATTACAATGTTTCGCCCATACTGGAAGTGACGACAATTCAAGATGGCGGCGCCCTTGTGAAAAGGGTCTTTACAGTGGCAATTTAGGGGGTCTGCTGTGCCCGCTTTAGGTGAACAATATGGCCGGCTTAGTAGCGATTACACAAACTTTCGTCGGTACGATGCGCATCCAGATGGAAGCGGGCATTGATAGGAATTAATTAGCAAGGTCGGGTAGTTGAGCCAGATCAGAACATCGACTAGCAAGCACAAGGTGCCCCCCCAAATTTGTTTTGTTTATTTGTTGCAAGAATAAATAACGCATCGCCGAACGCTCATTCTCCGCCTAAATGTAGCGCTAGCGCTCCGAACCAGATGTGAATGTTTCACAACTCACCGGTATTTCATTCAAAGGTTAGAAGGGATTTTTTGAAAATTATGGGAAGACAGGGCCAGTTTTTGCCTGTTTTCGCCCGTTTTCGGTAATTGGCGCCATTCCGCACCTAGTATTTGAGAGCTCCCTTGACCGCCCCTTTTAGAGCGCAGCTTTTAGGCGCCCGTTTCTGGCTTAAGCGGCGTCGCCGTCGCCGTAACGGCGCGTTGCATTCTGGGACGTTTCCCAAAATCAATCGGGACTCTCGTGACGTCCACACGTGACGTCACGAGAGTCCCGATTGACGTCACGAGGGTCACTAGGGTCATAAGTGACGACGCGAGTGGCGTCACGAAGGTCACTCGTGAAGGTCACGACCTTCACAAGGCGACCTTCACGGTGAAGGTCACGACCTTCACGTGTGACGTCACACAGTGAAGGTCACGACCTTCACGAGGCCTTCACGTATGACGTCACGAGAGTCACGAGTGACGTCATGAGAAAGGGAGTGGGAGGAGGAGTGGAGAAGAAGGGGAGTAGGAAGGGGAGGGAAGAAGAATGAGAGGAGGAGGGGGAGGGGAGGAGGAGGGAGAAGGGGAGGGGGACGAGAAGAGAATGATGAGAGGGTACGGAGGAGGAGGGGCATACCCTCCTCCCCGTACCCTCCCCTCCTTCTCCTCAAGAGCTGAGCTCTAATTCGGCATTACAGGGAATTGTAAACGTCCTTTGTTTTTTCATTGAAAATTTAAAAAAAAGTGAAAGCCGTTTACAAATCCCTGTAACGCCGAATTGGAGCGCAGCTCTTGAGGAGGAGAAGTGAAGGGTACTGAGGGGAGGGTAGACCCCTCCCCCTTCTCCTCCTCCTCCCCTCATTCTTTAATATGCTCCGGGGGGGGTGTCACGTGACTTCGGGGAGGGGGTCACGTGACCGCGGGGAGGCGTGACCTGGGGGTGACCTCAAGGCCACGTGACCCCAAAGGTGACCCCCACGTGACCTTGGGGTCACGTGACCTGGAGGGGTCACGTGACCTCGGGGGGTCACGTGACCTCAGAGGGGTCACGTGACCTGGGGGTTACGTGACCTTGAGATGACCTTGGAAGGGGTCACGTGACCTCGGGGGTCACGTGACCTTGGGGAGGCGACCACGTGACCTCGGGGGTCACGTGACCTCAGAGGGGTCACGTGACTTGGGGGTCACGTGACCTTCAAAGGGTCACGTGGGGTCATCTTGGGGTCACGTGACCTTGAGATGACCTTGGAAGGGGTCACGTGACCTCGAGGGGTCACGTGACCTCGAGGGGTCACGTTACCTTCAGGGGGTCACGTGGGGTCACGTGACCTTGAGATGACCTTGGGAGGGGTCACGTGACCTTGGGGGTCACGTGACCTTGGGATGACCTTGGTTACGCCGACGCCGACGCAGACGGCGACGGCGACGCCAACGCCGACGGCGACGCCGCTCAAGCCGGGAACGGGCCCCTAAGAGCTGCGCTCTAAAAGTCCTTCGTAACTTTTGAACGAGATAACGGTTAGTTCTGAAACTTCGGCATCTGATTCGGACCGCTCGCTACATTTAAAAAGTTGAAGGAGTGTTCGGCGATGCATAGTTCATTTTTTAGGTGAAAACAGCCTTGTAAGTCTTTTGGGGGGACGCCTTGTATAGTTAGTGCGGATTGTGTGAGTATATATACAGGGTGATTCAAGGAGACGCCAGACTCTTTAAATCGACCGCAAAATTCTGTTTCCCAACCTATCGCGCTACGACTTTGTGCAGAGTTGCCCACAAATGGTGCATTTTTTTTTTGTAAAATTTGCAAAGAGCGAACTTACCTGAGGAAAAAGCAAAAAAAGAAAAAGGCTTAGCTCCTATGGAAACGCAGCAAAGCCACCGGTTTTCAAACAACACGGCACCGTTTCGTACGGTGCCGTGTTTCCCTTGTTTCATCCTGTATATATATACAGGATGAAACAAGGAGAAGCCAGGGTCTTGTGAACACTGTTTGTGTCCGACCAGAAAAAAAAACATCAGGTAAAACCTCGGTATTTCGGCGGTTCCATCGCCAGGTGTTCTTCACGACGATCTGCTTCGTGGGGCTCGCGTGGCTGGCCTTCCTGCACGTGGACCTGAGTCGCCTCGAGAGACGGGCCGTAAAGGAGCGGGACCGGGAAAAGCGGGACACGGACATCCCCATGTCCGACTACGTGTCCGAGTGGAGCGAAGACCAGGGCCGCCCCGTCACCGGCTACAGCTACCTGACAGGACGACACAGCGGCAGCTTCTACCTCAAGGTCGGGATGACCGGTGAGTTCGGCTCGCTCTCGGACATGCAGTCCGCTGAAACTTGAACCGCGTATACATAGGTAGATACAAATGAGTTCCGCAGTCTATTAACTGGAGTTTGGTTAAGACTCGGAACCGTCTCACTCGTCGGATTAGAGTCACTCCTCAGATTAGAGATTAAGAAAAGCTTAAAGCTTAAGTAAAGTTTAGGAAAGGTTAAGAAAAGGTTAATAAAAGACGGCTGATCGTCTGCTCCGGAACCATCGAGATTTCGGCACTAGACAGTGAGAACACCAATGATAACAAAGTTGGAAACATGAACATCATTAAGCCTGTGCTTCTTAAGATGTCGGTGACGGTATGGGATTGTTTAGTATACATGTCATCATAAGCCTCTGCTTTTTAAGATGTCGGTGACGGTATGGGATTGTTTAGTATACATGTCATCCTTCATCGGGTTTCTATGGAAACCAAGGATGATTCGCAATCGATCCTATAGACACGCTAAGCATAAACTGCAAAATTGGCGACCCGATATGTGTGGCTTTCGGTCCCACCAGGTTGTTTTTGTGAGCTATTTTAGCGTACAAATCCTTGGGAAGCCCTTGTTCTCCCTGGAATATGTTCATGACGTACTAAACTGTAAGCATCCAATCTGATTCTCGGCTGCTTTCTCACTATCTCTGCACCAAAACCTCTCGACTGAAGGGAGCAAACCTCCCCTGCGACAAAGCAGACGAACGGCAACGTTCCCCGGGCAGGCCGTCAGTGACGCCGTTGCAGATGACGCCATCATGATGTAATTTGCTTGCCTTCTAAGGATGGCCGATTCTAGAAGTCTCGTGTCCAACAGAAACGTTTCCTTCCATTTGGAGTGTCTGTGGATGCATGCAGCCCTTTGTTCGATTCAAGACATGCACCTTTAATATAAATCTCCTTAATCCACAGTGTTCTGCTGTGGCCACCTGATTCACGAAGGCCTGCTACTGGGCAAAGAGGTCATCGGCTGGATGCACGGCGGCGAAATCTGCGCTGACATCTCCCTGCTCGTGGTGCACGTCGTGCGACCGATCTTCTCATTCTACCAGCTATACTTCCTCTTCAAATACTCCAACGTACGTTTTGAGTCACTATCAGAATCGATGCACGGAAATACCTCAGGCTAGCAGTCGAACTGCACTCGCTAAATTTTGCAAATACAGTGGGTGACGCTGTCGCCATGCTGTGGCAGTCTAAACCCTCGTTGTCTAAACAAGTAATGACTATTTTGTTTTTAGGCACATGTGCATCTTGTGTCTGAGAAGGATAAGCTAATACCAAAAACCACTAGCAGAGCACAACTGCAGGCCACTTTATCGTGGTCAACTTCTCTAGAAAACTTGTCCTTTTCTTGCGACCTTTTTTTTTTCACTCAGCTACGTTTTGGTCAGAGGTTTTGGGAATTCGTGCGGGGTACGGGCTAACGCAGTACTTGCATCCAATCTGGCCCCGCAGTTGATTGAGATAGATGACGTAAAGATACAATGAACAGGCCTGATAATGTGTAAGTTGTGTAAACAACGCGCCACGAAGCTGTGCTAAAATTAAGGAATCGGATTATTCGAACCCTTTTCTTCAAGCAATCGAACTTCCTCTTTAATATTTCTCCTGTACATTATCTTCCAGCAGTGCCGTCAAGACAGAAAGAAAGAATGGGAGATTATCCCCCCCCCCCCCCCCCCCGACATTTTCGACCGAGCCATTTCTACCACCCTTGTCTTCCTGATTTCGAAGCTGTATGGCACTGGACAGATTGCTTATTTAAAGCTCATATTAAGAGTCGTGTACATCGCGGTGAGAGCTGCGGGTTCAAGCGGGTACCGTTCTAGACATTGCTAACCGCGTAGAAGAATTCATACAAAGGCATGGAGGGCTACACTTTCACGCCTAAATGTTTGATAGCAATGCATATCACATCTAAAAGCAAATAGACCCCCAAAGATAAAGGCGTTCATAACAGTCTTCCATGATGTCGACGTCGGGCATACCATTTCAGATCGTCATCAACAGGTGGGTGGTGATGGCCAAGTTTGGCATCATGCACTGCTTCGCAACCACCTTGAGCTACTGGTTTCGGACTATTGTAGACGACGCTTACGGTGACGTTATCAAGGCCAACAAACACCAAGGTCCTTACTGGCTGCCACCCGCTGAGAGTGAACGTTTCTCAGGTAAGGCTAAATGATTACTAACACCATAGGATGCATTCTCGATCATCGATAAGTACAAATAAAAACAATGGCGTTTACTCGGTCTGACTACCGAATAGTCAAATAAAATCACAAAAAATCGAAGTCGTCGCCCTGTCGCAAAATCCTTTCTCAGCTTTTTCGTTGTTAGTCGTTATACAATCTCGAATCAAATTTAAACTTCGCCGCTACTAATCAATATTCCAACAAACGGTAATAACACCCTACAAAAGACAGAAAAAAAATAAGAAAAACCTAGTTCGCTCGAGAAGACTGGCGAGCTTCGTTAGCTTCGCCGCAGAGCAGGTGTTCGGCGGCGATGAAGACTCTCTGCCCGCGCTCCGCGCGTAGCCTACGAGCGGTGACGTAGCTGATGTCATGAACCAAAGCTTGCAAGTCTTGACTTTCTGAACAGCTAAGTCATGTAAGCAAACCTGCCACTGAAACTTGACTTGCCACAACGTCCTTCATGCCTTGAAGGCCGGTTCACACATGTATCTCGGTGCCGAGACAACACAAAGTGAGCAGTGCATCAGCGCAAACTGTTATCGCTGAGATAGAACTGCATTGCCTCTGTGAGAAAAAAAAAGGCGGGGTAACACGCAGCGGAGCTCTGATACAATAGCGCCAAGTCTGCGGTGCGACTATAGCGCTCGCTGTAGGTGTGGAGAGGCAATAACCCGAACAAACTGTTTTTCTTCGTCTCAAGACCAACCCGACAACCTGACCAACCTGAGCTGCGCCACAGCCGATCTCTTCTCGCCCGCCTACCTGGCACCGATGCAGTACCTCTACCCGTTCACCATCGAGTTCGACCTCTTGCTGGCGGGCGTCTGGTTCATCGTTCTCCAAAACCTCGGCAAACACGGCCTCAAGAACAGCCACAAACGCTACAGGTCTTCGGAGGAGACAACCGAAAAGAACTTGGTCATCAGCGTCGACTGCCACTCGGCAAACCGCGGCATCTTCGCCGGCATTGTAGTACTCCTCGCTTCCATCGTGGTCATGGTGGTCTTCTACGTGACTGTCCTCAGCGAAGAACATAACCACACGGGGGTCATCGTGTACTTGGTGCAAGAGGGCGTCTTGCTGTCTCTGGCCTTCGTGGCGAGCCTCCTGGCCTACGCCCGGATCGTGGTCTTGGACATCAACAGTCACCCCATCACGTTCCTGGATGATTTCCTGCTGTGCATTCCCTTGCCCTTCTACTTCCTCCATGGCATGCTGGTGGTCATAGCCAACCTTCAAACTGGAGGCTCCTGGGCTCGAATCCTGCTTCAGGTCAGTACCCCCCCCCCCCCCCTCCGGTAATCGCGTTGACGAGCTTATATCACATTCGCCCATAGACTGGCAGTCTATTCTAACTGACGTGTTCATTAAACAAATCAATCACAGCTGTTGATCCACCTGACTGCGCTCTTCGAGCGTATATGTGTGGCGCGACGCAACTGGCACGGACACGACATTGGCACCTTTACGCAGTGGCATCACACTTTATGGCTTACGTTGGTGCCCCTAATGACCACATTATCCCACACAAGTGATTATAATGAGAACCTCCCGATTCAAAAAAAAAAACAGGAGTAACGGGCGATTGCTTATTCCTGCTAACAGTGCAGTGCGCTGCACTTGCCGATTATAAGGCAACGAAGCCGCGCTCACGCTGCTAATACGTTGTACAAAAAGACGCTCTGCAGACATATTCGGAGCATGTGTGAAGCAAGCATGTTTTGAAGATGCTTAGCGCCTGCTCAGTCATCATGTAAGCAGCGAACACCCCATGAGAGCTTTGTATGGTATACAATAAGTGATTGCAGTTTAGACAGGACAGTCTGTCAAAAATGGAGAAAGGTGAGGAAACAGGAAAGTTTAAAGTTGGGTGGGTGGGGGGGGGGGGGGGGGGGGGGGTTGATTACTGATTGCAGCATTATAGCAGCTCGAAACAGAAAGGACGGTGAAAGTACAGTTCAATGTTGTTGTGGAAAGTGTAGAGTCAAGGTAAACTTCCGGCGTCACACAGCTGATCGCGCGGCAAAAACGCGTTCTTCTACGCAGATCTTCTCGGTGATCCAGGTGGTCGTGCAGACACCGCTCATCATCGACGGTCTACGGCGCTGCAGCAACTCCCACGTGCTCCGCTACAAGAAGCCCGGCAGGGAGGTGGTGTCCTTCCTCATCGTCATCAACATCACCATGTGGATCGTGTACACGTTCGAGCGAAAGATGGCCGTCAGGTTCTTCATGGGCATCCGCTACTACGGACTCCACGCCTGGGTCTTCGTGGAGCACACCACGATACCGCTCATGCTCTTCTACAGATTCCACTCTTCCGTTTGCCTGGCGGACATGTGGAAGTCCGCCTACGAAGCCGAGTGAACATCAAATTCAGCTCCCCCCCCCCCCTCTTCCCACATCCAAGCAACCCTATATTATACACATGCATTTCCATTTCCCCTCCCCCTCCACCGCATCCCAAGGCATGGACATCTCAACGCCTCCCTCCCTCCCCCTCTTTACCGAAACAAATCCCTGGCTGCGCCATTGGTGAACACCGTCCAGCGCTCGTGTGTGTGGCGACGTTCTTCGGATTTCGTAAACGGTTCACGGTGGATGCTGAACGACGTCATCGGTGAAGAGAGACACTGTGCGTGTAGGACTGACGTCTTCGTGGCATCTTCACAATCAGACTTGACGTTTTCGTCATCGCCACGCGGTGCAAAGAGCTTCATGACTTTTGCCTGTTTGTTTGTTGTTGTCGTTGTAGTTCTTAAAGTGTCAGTACACATGGTGGTTTATTTGCCGCGTTGGCGATTAAATTCGTAACTAACAGGTAAATGCCGTCGGTTTGTTGGTTTGTATTTTCACTCAAACACGTAATTATGGTGAGACTTTCTTTTTAGGTGCTAGCGTGCGCGATTATGAAGGTCAGAACTTAGAAATAAAAATTGGCACAGACTTTTATCTTCCAGTCCTATAATGCGTGACATATACTATTTAACGAGCAATCGTTTTAATTTGTTTAAAATACATTAAAAGTCGTTTCGGGAAGCGTAAAACGTATATTTTTATCGTGTTAGCGAGTAAACTGTCTTGGCGCATAGGTCACGTGACGTCGGTCACGTGACGTCAGGTCACGTGACGTCAATTGTCCCGTCTTTTGATCGCCTCACCGCCAAAGAGGTTGCGGCATTCGTTGCCAAGAGCCCCGAGGAACCAATCACGAAGCCTGAAAATAATAGGCCACACTCTGCGTTCATCAAGTTGTCAGTGACTCTAATGTCCAATGCGAATCTTCACCAGACCATTCCATTTAGCGCTCTCAGGGCGGCGCCATTTTGTTCGACCGCAGCGCCCTCTCCACACATCCAGGAAGTTCAGCAGGTTCGGCGGGATAAAACGAGAGAGGGGGCACCCGCCCGACTCCGCTAGCAGAAGACAGACCGGGAGGTTGCCGTTCCCCATCTTTGGACTGTACAGGCGGGCTATACCGAGCATCGAACTCTCGCTCGTGGCTGCCGTTGTCAAGTGTTTCGCGTTCTTAGAATATCCATGGCTACTCTAAAATCAGCCTATAGAGCTGTGTTGTTTTATTTCGGTAAATGATCAACTAACGTATCTTTGTTCCGTTACTTTAATATCAGTGGAGTCAGCAGGCGGTACTACCCTCAGCCGCTACGTCTATTGCGTCAGGAGAGCACGTTTTTATTTATTATTCCAGATTTCCACTCATTGTCGCTAAAGGCCTACGACAGTACGAGCTGTAGAGTCAAAAAGCTACAGCAATCGGATTTACATTTCCCCGGAGGACCGGTCACTCTGACACAATTTTCCCTTTTTTTTTTATTTGCACGCAGGTAACAGCGTAATTAGACCCAGTTAGTCTTTTTTTTTTGAGCCTAGCGTTGCACGATAACTTGCATATTAAAATCCGCCCATCTGCGCTAAATGTTTCAAAATGACGCGATTTTAGACCGAGTTTGAACGCCAGCCGGATGTAGGTACAGCCCACTCGGCGGAGCAGACGACGCACGGGGTGAGAGCATTTTTTCGCTCTCCGCTCTTCCTAGTGGAACGGTCTATAGTGTGTAGTTAAACACAGGAACTACAAGAAATTCGAGCAATGAAGCAACAAAATGTCAATTTTATTCAAAATAAACACAGAACATACTGCACAAACACATCTGGATCCATTGCCTTCTTGGCCAGTCTTGGAACCATTCCAAATGTACAATGGTAAATAATGCAGCGGTTACCCCCCGCCATCTCCCCCCCCCCCCCCCCCCCAATTCTCACAAAAATAAAAATGCAATCCCTAAGTCATTCTGAACGAAGGCGCCAGCTTATCCTATATTCTTAAGTCAATGAATGGGAGGAGCCCCCGTCAGCGCCAATCTATTGAGGTTAGCGGCCACAAAAACCAAGACTTCACCTCGTACGCAATGCGCCTCGTCGCGCTAGCCAACCAAAGAGTCGTTATTTGTGGGAGGAGACTCTCCAGTCGTTCTTATATTGCCACAGACCATAGATGCATCACTTACCATCGGTGAAGGAAGGACGTACAGACGGAACGAGAATGAAGACAAGTTAACTTGAGGTTATTGAACTCGTTGGCTATTCTGTTCTAGGGGAGTTGAATGAGGAGATTCGACGAGCGTATGGCAGTACAACAATCTTCTTCTAGTTTCATGTTTCGTAAAAATGAACGTCATCGAAGCTTCATCGACTCCCTCAGCGCCCTTGTTAAAGATTTCTTTTTTCTGAAAAAAAAAAAAAAAAAATTACAAATAAACAACGCCTGCTGTTTATTTGTTAGCCACCTCCTGTTCCCATTTCAATGCAACGATCATGCGGTTGTAGGGCTGTGGAGATCGCCCACTGGGCTGGGCATATTATATATATATATATACATATAGTATATATATTATGCGTATTTTTGAAAGCAGCTTGCACTACACGATCTAACCCACTGGAGCATGCAGTGCCATAGTTTTGACATTACGCCTGTAGCCTTCACTGCACCCCAAGCTTGTGTAAAGCGCAGCCTATTTCTTCTCTTCACTGCATCAAGGGTTACAATCGAAGCGCTGGCAGTAGAGACCTATTATAAAGCGACACGACATTTGAATTTGCGAAACGAATACGACGTAAACAGTTGTATTTGCCGGTTCCAAAATGACACCACAAGATCGTTTTTATATTTTCTTTTCCAGTCAAACTTTACAGGTTTAGAAGTGAAGGCTACCATCAAAAGGACATTCTAATCATAAGAAGCCAGTGGTGCACGCAAGGTGCTTTGTCATTATTTCTCGGATTCATTTGTATTTATCTCACAAGAAACCGCATTTCCTATTTTTCATCGGCGGACTTCCAGGGTCCTCCATCATTCTTTAGCTTAAAACCAACGTCTTTTTTTTTCTGTCTTTTTTCTCCCTTAGCCTCTTTTTCGTATCAAAAACCCCAAAACGTCGGGTCTTTCAAGAAAGCCAAAACTCCTCCTAAAGAAACATCGTTCCACACGCGCGCGCAGACGCACGCGAACACGCGTGCGCGCCCGCGCGGCCGTACATAATAAATTGTTTACTCGGCAAAAAACACCCAAAACTTGTACTTGACCGTGGCAGAAGGTCGACCCTCATATAACGCAACAACAATAACAATCTTGCCGCGTAGCCACCACAACGAAAGTCCAAACCACGCCGAGCTACGTCACGCGGAACGGCGGCTTAGAACAACCCCCAACGTGATGTTCATTTGTTGTTGTTGATCTCGATCTTCCTCTTTCTGCTTTCCTCGCCGTAACGAGCCACGTGGGCCGACTCCACCCAGAACACAAGGCCTCCTTCCCAAACGTCATCACTAGTGAGCCCACGCAGCGTGACACAACGAGCGTGACACTAGACTTTCATCAAGCTCCGGCTTGTTTGCTGCTAGGGTGCGGGTCGGGAAGGGGGGGGGGGGGGGGGGTATACACTATACCGATGACGTATTCCACAGGCCTCGTCTTGTAGGGGGTACTGCGTGGGCAGCGGTGGATCGCCCACGGTGGCGCAGCAGCCCGAGAGCAAAGCGCGCAACTGGACCGACTGGTTGTCCCGGATGCTCGGTGACCGCGACCGACGCCTCACCAGAAGAGCCGAGACGCGCCGAGAGAGGGCGCCACCCAACCCTCCCCAACGCGGATTTCGGGGTGGACCGGGTTCACTCTCTTTTGGCGGGCTTCTTCCGCTCCCCGATTTCAGTGGCGTCTTCGACTCGAAGCCGCACGCGCGGGAGAGTTCGGCTGCTGGTGTTCACGGTCAAGGCCGCCATGGATACCCCGTGCGGTGAGTCGGGCTGGGCCGTCGAAACACTCCTGCGCTCGCTCAGCGGGGGCGAGCATGCTACACTAGACGGATAGACGGTCATGTGGGCTGTGATCACTGGAAGGATGAGAACGACAGAGACATCTTCAGCTGTCCCGCCTCCAGCCCGAGCTTCCTAACTTCGATAATGCTTTGATGTCTCGTGAGTCCCGAGCGCGCATGCGCAGTCAAAGCGCGGCGGGAGGCTTCGAGCGCGTGCTGGAGGCCAGACACCCAAAAGAGATGCCCTGGCGTTCTTATTCTGTCTGTGATCATACAATAGGTGTTATGAACGCAGTTCGTGAGAAATCGTCAAAATCCTGCAACTCAAAATGTTCGAGAAAGAAAAAAAAAAACGTGGCATACTTTCTTCAGGGAGATCTTCTCAATCATTTGATCTGGTCCTTTTCCTTTCTAGCATTGAGAGCGACTATGTCAGTGGGAGGGTTTCCACGGGTATTCCAACGGGACGTGCGCCTGCTCTTGCGGCCTTCTGCCAGCGCACAGTGAATTTGGGTGCTGTGGATTTTTGTCTTATTAAGTGGCTGGCCACAAACTGTCTGTGAAGATCAGGTTCTTTTTATACTTCGTTTCAGCTTAAGTCCAGACACAGCCGACGCTACGAGCTAACGAGACTGATCACGCAGCGCCAAAAGCGCGTCATTGGGCCCTTTCTGTTCAGAGACGATAGAACACGTACAGAAACAGGAGGAGCGCCAAGGTGGTGCCTTTTTGGCGCTCTCTGATTGGCCCCGTCAGCTCGTATTGTCGTCTGCGTCTGGAATTAAGGTGAAACAAAGTATAGCGGAACTTGATATTTCGTACTAAATATAGACGAGGCCTTTTGCACACAAAACAAACACATTATTTACGCGAGAAAAATCGGAAAAGAAAAAATGCAATTTGAGAAATAGAGACAGGAATGCAATCGACAGATTGTGCTACCACGACGGTGTGCCGACGAGCTTCGGTTCCGAGCCTCGAAAAGCTCGGACTCGTAGCCCGACGGACTTTTACTTCCGCGTCCTGCTTCCCCTGTGGCGTGGACCCGCGTTCCGAACTAAATCGAACAATGTTTCTTGACTCGGCATATTCGAATGCGCGTCGCACGTGCACATTCTTTCCCGCTTGCAGCCGCGCATATCATATCTAAACTCTGTTCCAAATGATCATGCCACGTAACAAGACAGATAGAGCAACGTTGAACGCGGGTAGGTTTTCGAACGCCAACTTACAGAGCGGATGTAAACGGTATAGAGGTTTGTCATAATTCGTGCATTATCTTCCGAGGAATATTGCTACATTTTCTCAGAATTATTTCTTCGAGAAACATGTACTGTACGTCTTTCCAACACGACATCACAAACATTTCACGCGTACGAAGCGGCGCGTGCACCGCGCTTGCCTTGTTACCTGTGCGGTTATATTCGGTTATGTGCGGTTTCGCTTCCCGTCAGAAACCCTAAAAAAACAGACGACATCGAGCAATCAGAGCGTTTAACAGGAAGACGCTTACGACACCTTGTGACAGCTAAGGAACAAAACTGCGAAATGAGGGGCCGAAAACACCGAAGATGCAAATACTTGATGGTCACAATGAAGTCTGCCAGTACAACCTCATCATAGTGGATTTTGTCCCGATTACGCGTTCTTTACTTTTTGCACTAAACCGGAAAACCCCAGGTCCCGCCAACAATGTCAACGTGGTCACCACCACACATGGGTATTTTTAGCTAACGTAATCTTCGTTTACTTCTTTCCGGCGAAACCCTGCACAAGTGCTTGAGTACAGTGAACATCAACAATGAAGCCAGTATGTCTGA